ACATAATAGTATAAAAGCATGATTACATTTTACATTTCTCAGTAACAACTTTCGCACGTCGCTTGCGAAAATATTTTTAAAATAACTGTTTTTTTTTTTTTTTTTTTTTTTTTTTTTATTTTCAATGGGGACGCTTCTTTACTGAATACTGGATTTTCTCTAACGTGTTTCATCAATCTACACACACATTTGTTTGTGTTTAGGTTTATCGTTATATCTTTAATTAAATAATCGTCCCCGTGAAGAAAAAAAAATTACATCAATATTTTTTTGTAAATTTCTACAAATAGCATTTTTTTTAATAAACTTTTTCCGTATTTTTTGTTAATAACGTAAAACAAGCTTTAACAAAATATTATAATTTTTTAATTCAATAAACAATTTAAAAAAATTATATAAATCATTTAAAAAAAATATATTTTGAATTTATAACAGAAGAGCTCTTGAAAATTTTTTTTATTAATTATTTTTAATTGAATTTTATTTATTGTTTATTTTACATTACTATAAATGCATATATATATAAATATATATCCCGAAGGCATGTGAAATGGACAGCAGGATAAATTTACACTGGGGTGAACAGCAATCCAAGTTATTAATTATAACAGAAAAGGGTCAGAAATTGGCTTCGTAAAGATAATCAAATTATTTTTAACTTTGCGCAAGCTCAAATTCTTTTTTTTTTTATTTTTTTTTTTTAATTCACTGAAATAATTTATTTTCATAATATCTAGAAAAATTGCATCTACTACAAACAAGATTAGAATCGCTGAAGAATCATCAATTCCATAAAAAACATCAATAACAAATAGAAATTCTGTGCTTTAGAAATTCATCAAATTTTGATCCAATTCAAAAACATAAAAATTTAGCTGAGCAGAATGTCATTTCTCATTATTAAGCTAGAATTGATCGATCAAACGATGAGATTTATCAATTTTATAGAATTTTAACATTTATCAGATTAGAAATTCATCAAATTGTTTCAGTATCAAAACCTGTTTACCAAAATTAAACTTTAACTTAGTATAGAGTGTCATAGTTATACCAAAATTTTATAACCAAAAGCTTGAGATTTATTGATCTTATCAAAAATTTCAATCAAAATATAATTTTGAACATTAGAAATCCATCAAAATTTTGACGCTATTAAAATTCATTGATTGAAATCAAATTTTAGCTAAATAGGTCATTATTATACTAGAATTCATCAACAAACGCTAAAAAATGATCAATATTATGAAAGAACATCAATTCTATCCTTTAGAAATTCATCAGATTTTGATCCAGTCCAAAAAAATGATCACAATCAAGCTTTAGTTATGCAGAATATCATAATTAAGCTACCCAAACATTATCTGTTATATTAAAATAATTCCTCGACAGAATTGGAAAAAAATAACAAGTAGAATAAAAAAAATTTTTTTGATTATTTAATAAAATAAACAAAGTACTCCCATGAAAAAAAAATATAAAAAATATGTATTTTGAAATACATAAAAAATATATTTCAAATATATTAAAAATCTATAAAAAATATATAAATATATAAAAAATATGTATAATAAATATATTTTTAATAACTAATATATCTATTATATATATTTTTTATATATTTTTAATATATTTAAAATATATTTTTTATATATTTCGAACTATATATTATTTATATTTTTTTTTTCATGGGAGTAGCTTTAAATTACATCGAAACTTTTGAGCATTAAAATCCCTCCCAAAGTTTTAATAAACTAATATAATTTTTATTATAATTACAGAATTAATCTGCCATAATAAAAAGTCTATTGTTATATTAATAAACGTATTTGTTAATGATAATGAATAAATTCATCACACATTAATAGATTGAATCATTGTTAAGATGGTGCAGGTATAATAGTCGATAATTCAGCGTTTGTGCTAAAATAGGGAGAAAATGAGTGATGATTATCGATAAAGGAGAAAGTGAAATGCTCATCTAAGAGGTCGGGACTCCCGTGTTTACTACAAAGGTGTACTACAATATGTACGATGTACAATATACAACATAAATAATATATTACACACTCAGTCACCCTCTCTACCAGTATCATCTATCATCCATCTCCTGTTATCCTTCATATATATATATATATATAGAGAGAGAGAGGATATAATGGTACAAATTCGGATCTTTAGATTTTCAGTAGTTGGTAGAGTTCGCAGAGTTCAGCTGTCTGTTGAAATCACCGTAACTTGACACGGTATATATATATATATATATATATATATATATATATATATATATATATTTAACATCAATAATGTCGATATCTCGTATTGGGTATCTCCAATAACACACGCAGGCTAAAGTTTAAATATTTTTAGAAATTATAAAAATTTAATGACGTTAATGCACATGCAAATATCTAAATTTTCATCTATTACAATATTGCTTTTAAGTAATTTATAATTTTCACTAAATTCTAACTGACAAAATTTTTCTTCACCTTAAAATTTAAAAACAAGTTGCAACATAAGTAATATAAACATATGTGTTAAACACCCACACATCATATATTTCGCGTATCATAATAACAACACATTCGCGTGTTATACAGACGGGTAGTATAGAGGATTCGAAGATATAATACAAGGGTCGGATCAGATCAAACCTAGCTGCAACGCACTTGATCTCTTCTCTACATACAAACATAATAATATACTCATGCAGTACATAACTTATACGGCTGCTCTATCAGTTTCTGTTTCGGTTATTACTATTAGTTAAATTAACCATAATACATAACACAAAATACCTAATGTTTGTATTTATGTAATAAAGTAATAATAATTGTTATTTGTATTCTCGGTTTAATTGTTTAAGAGTTTGCTAACATTAGTAATTAACAATGGGAATTGTTTGCTAATACTTGCTTACATTTATAATTATGAGATACACGGTATAAGAAAATTTAAATTATTTTTACTATTTAAATAATACTAAGAGCAAGAGATTTAAAAAGTCCAATATAGTATAGATCAAATTATACAAAATGCGTTAGTGAATTTTATAATTTAATTATTGTAAAAATTGTCAGTTGGTTTTTTTTAAATAAATTTTAGGGAGAAGGTTAGATTCATTATTAATAATGCAGTAACCCAAAAAAAAAAAATCAGAATTTTCGTCCGGGAATCGAACCCAGAACTTTTAGGTGGTTGTCAGAGACTCTCTCTCTCTCTCTACGCTATCCGAGTTAAGCTGTCAGTAACTGTTGCAATTGGTTTTTTTTTTCACATTTTTGATCTTTCACCAATGATTAGCATATTATTATTTATTATTTAAATAGTTGAAAAACTTCAAATTGTTAAGTTTAATTACTATTATTAAGTGCACTTATATTAAGTCAAATAATCTGTCAGGAACATAATATATATATTTCAATAAAAATTACAAACTATAATAAATAAAATTTTGCTTAATATTATATCATTTAGATAAGTAGTTGTTAATATGAATTAAATATTCAACACATCATCATAATGGAAATGATCAAAGGGGAAGGGAAGGAGAAGACCAAAACAGAGATCAGAGATGAAAGGACCTATTAGACTGTTTGTCTTTATGGAGGGACGTCGATCAGGTTAGATAGGTCAAAAAGTCACTTGTTAATAATGGAAATCATCAATGTAAGGATATCTAGATTGAAAAAAAATAAGTTGGTTCAATAAAGTAATTTTTAGTTTTGATTATAATATATTTAATCTATCATATTATTTTATTCTATCGAATATATATTAAATTGCAAATAATTTTTTTTTTTATTAAAAATATTTGAAGTCTTAAAAAAAAATTTTTTTTTTTTTTTCAATGTATATGGTACGAAAAGAAATTTTCTGTAAAATTAACAGTGATATGGCAGCGGCCTACATTAAAATACAAGCTGATAATTTTTCTAATGAATTTTAATAATAAATTTTAAAGAAAATTTTAATAAATTTTCTATAATAATAATCCGGAGTGGGCTTAGCGAATAAAGTAAAGTTAATTATTAATTTAAGCTTTAGATACAGGTGGTAGGACGTGTGTAGACAAGAGTGAGTAATTTAACACGTTGTATACCAGAGACACCGAGGAGGTGTACAGACTAATGAAGTATCCCGTTAAACTGGAAACCCGACGACCAAACTCACCCCCTATATGCCCCCCCCCTTCGCCCCCGATCCTTGCGTTTCTTCCGCAGTATGTAATATGTGGTAGTATGGAACGTGCAGTGAACTGTATGATATAGTTGTCATACACACTATTACTCATCTGACCATCACTCATCACTCATCACTTTCCCTCCTCCACCCCTTTTTACTCTATTATCCATCAAGTTGTATCAACTTGATACAAAACATTGACAAAAACTATCAGATATATTCGTTATTATTATTATTTATATTATTGAGAGAATAAAATAAATTTTGTCTCCAGGATAGTCATATGATAAAATTAGTTTTTTATCTTGTGTCTATTGATATTTGTACCTTGGATCTTGTGAAATATTGACATTTTTAAAGATATAAGCTCATCTTAACATTACACTCCTCAAGAGCTTTCATTTGAGTACGCACATCAATTTTTCATATATTTTATATATTTATATATATTATATATATATGTATATATGAAAAATATATCAAAAATACATATATATTATATATATATATGTATATATGAAAAATATATCAAAAATGCATGTGGGTACTCAAATGAAAGCTCCTGAGGAGTGTAATGTTAAGATGAGCTTATATCTTTAAAATATATATTATATATATGTATATATCAAAAATATATGAAAAATGCATGTGGGTACTCAAATGAAAGCTCTTGATTAGTGTAACGTCGGGATGAGCTTATATTTTTAAAAACGTCAATAGTATTAAGTAAAACTTTATTTATTAAGCAGTCACATAGTGACTGCTTACTAGATTACTAGTTATAATTATTATTATTAATATATGTTTTGTTTTTATAATTCCAGGCAACAGAGTGGTGGTTGAATGACATGTACATGTCAATACCCCTGGCATTACCGATAAACAGCAATCCCGGTTTAGCAGCAAAGCCAAAAGTTTTTCAGAACCAACAGGAATCTGCAGTTTTTCTGGCAAGATTTTTGATGCAGCTCCTGGACTATCAGGAAAAATTGGACAGGTAAATTAAATCTCGAACAAAACACGCTTTTTTTTTTATTTTTATAGAACACAATGTTTTATTAAAAAATAATTTATTTTTTATAATAAAAAATAATATTACTTAGCTAAAATTTTTCAAACTTTTGGATAACAATTTTTAATATAAAAAAAAAAATTAGTCTTCAATTTTCTTTATAACATAAATAAATAAATCAGAATTCGCATAAAAAATTCACCGGTCAATTCTTTATGAAACTTTTGATTTAAAAAAAACAAACTATGTTTACATCAAAGTTTGACAAACAAAAAGTAATAAATAATGCAACTGTTATAAAAACATACTTTTGGGAGTTATGATGGCGATTAAATTATAAATAATTTATTTATTTTTTTCTGTACTCAATGAAAAAAATAAAAGAAATAAAAAATTTGTTTTATGTAATTTCGTTTAAGTATTATTTATAGTAACTCGGTCAGTACTATTACGAGACACACATATTGATCGATATGATAATTCTTAGAAATATAATAGTATATACAGATATAGATACCTTTAAATATAAAATAATTGTAGTTTTAATACTGCGTTTATATCAAGAGTTATAAAAAGAAATTCGCTTATTTCTTTATCTTTGGGTTAATGGTTATTGTTATTATATAGCTACTTATATTTTTTATTTAAATTGAGCTACTTTTAGTAAAAATAGAAAAAAAGTTTTATATGAAGACAGGGTAAGGGTGCGACTGTATGGAGAATTATGAAAAATGTATAATAATCTCCGGATTTACTGAGATTTTAAGTGAAATTACAGAAGTAGAGACGGAAATAGAGTTCGTTGTTAATTCAAAAGCATCAAAGATTTTAGATCACAGAGCCTCCGGTTTCCGGTTCCGGAGTTAACTTAAACTTTTGTTCACATGTAAATTTTTATTTTTTATTATTATCATTATTATTATAAATAAATATTACTTTTATTATCAATGTCATTATCAATATCACAATAAATATCATTATCAATGACAATATCATGATGAATATCACTATCAGTATTATCATTATTAATCATTATCAATGCGGTAATGATAATTATTATCAATATTAGTATCATATAGTGATATTCATTATTATTAAGAATGTCACGGTCATTTTCAATGTCATGATAAATATCAATATCATGATAAGTTACATGATGAATATCACTATCAGTATTATCATTATCAATGCTATAATGAAAATTACTATAGATATTAGTATCATGGAGAATATCGTAGTCATACTAATTATCATTATTATTAAAAATATCACGGCCATTTTCATTGTCATGATAAACATATCATTATCATTATCACTTTCGTGATGAAATATTACTGTCATTATAAATATATCATTACTGTTGACAATGTCAATGATAAAATAAATATCTTTATCATTATCAATATCAAAGTAAATATCATTATCAACGACAATATCATCAAGAATATCATTTTCATTCACTATATCATGATGAATATCACAGTCGTAGTCATTAATATCACCCATATCACTGTCATTTTAAATGCCACGATAAATATCATTATCATAAACATCTTCATCATTATCAATATCACAATAAATATCATTATCATAAACATCTTCATTATCAATATCACAATAAATGTCATTGTCAATGACAATATCATCACGAATATCATTTCTATTCACTATATATCATGATGAATATCACAATATTATCATCATTAATCATTATCAATGCTATATAATGATAGTTTATTATCAATATTAGTATAATGAAGATCATAGTGATATTCATTATTATTAAGAATATCAATAAAATAAATAAATAAATTATTATTAAGAATATCACGGTCATTTCCAATATTATGATAAATATTATTATCATTATTATAATTTTCATGATGAATATCACTATCAGTATTATCATTATCAATGCTATAATGAAAATTACTATAAATATTAGTATCATGAAGAATATCGTAGTCATACTCATTATTATTAAAAATATCACGGCCATTTTCATTGTCATGATATAATAAATATCTTCATCATTATCAATATCAAAGTAAATATCATTACCAATGACAATATTATCAAGAATATCATTTTCATTCACTATATCATGATGAATATACAGTCTCACAGAAAAATATCACAGTCGTAGTCATTAATAATAGCAGGCATATCACTGTCATTTTCAATGCCACGATAAATATCACTATCATAAACATCATCATGCCGATATTACAGTTATAACTATAGGTATCGTTCTTGTAATTATAGGAACCATTTCCATAATTATAGTAACATTTCCCAAAAATTATCATAATTTTTGTACAATTCTCATAATTTAAGTAATTGCTTCTAAAGTGGTATAGGAAAATATTCCATTAAAATTATAGGAATGATTTCCACATTTTTCTCTCCGTGTTGAATTATTATTAGGGTATTATTAGCGCGCGGTCACTCCATGCAAACTGTATAACTGTGTAAGCAAACAAAAAAATTGAAATTATTGAAAATAATTCGAATTTCATAATTCTTTTCAATAACTAGAAAATCGAACGCGCTTTGCGCGCTTCTGTCAAAAAGTTTATTATCGACAATTTAATTAATCAATATTTTTACAAATTTTACTTATTTTAATATTTAACCGCTCCCATGGTAACCGTTGCTATGATAACCATTGCCAAAAAAGGTCACCATAGCAACGAAAAGCGACAACAATGAAAACGTCACATCAACTTTATAATAAAAGTTATGATTATTTTCATGGAAAAAATTCGCCATAGCAACCGTTACCGTAGCAACGGTTACTATGGCGACGATTACCATAGAGCAACGATAACCATGGCAACGAAAAGCGACAACAATGAAAACGTCACATCAACTTTTTACTAAAGGATTATTTTTAAGCGGGGATATAAAAAAATGACTAACATAGATCTTCGATTTATTTCCTAGTGTTCTACTATACAATTAATAGTTGCACCACTAATCACAATCATTACAAGTAATTCTTTTACTAGAAAATAAAAAAAAAATTTAATTATACAATAATCATCGTTATTACAAAGTTATTGTTTAGTAAAAATAAAATCTTCTAATATGATAAAATTAGAAAAGAGCTTGAAGTGGAGCGTGTAAAATCATGTGATGGCAAATCAATGCAACCACTGTGTATGGCTCAACACTATCAAATCCTCCGCATATACCGCAAGCCTGGAGAAACAGTCGATGAACAAATAATACTCGACAGAGCTACTTCTGGTGATCATATTATCGTCGCTCATTACAACCAAGTATGTATATTTAACATATTATTCCAAATTTTTTGATAAAAAAACAAAAATTCCACAAATTTAGCGATTCATATTATTATTAAATATCGTTTATTTACTCAATCACCGTAATCTGAAACTCTCACAATACTCTGGCATTAAATTACATTACAAGTACATCCATTACATTACATTATTGCATTATATTACCAACTATAAACAAGTGAGCCGCAGTACATAAATATATATATATATATATATATATACCATCAGCAAATCACCTGATGCTCCAGCAGACTCTCGATCTTTTAAATAACTATCACTTTCATAAAATATCTTTTAAATTCTGCGGTTCAGATTTTTTTATTTTTTTTTTTTTTTTTTTATGTGATCCTCTATCCGTTTAACTTATTAACATACGCGTTGTATAACAAGACAAATGTCCGTTGTCCGTGCACATAAACATTTATATTATATTATATATTACTGGATTATTTTCTAATTTTACTGTACAAACATTTTTATTTATTTATTTACAATATTATAACAACGTTAATTCGTCGAAAGTTTCCTCAGCCTCACGTGAAAGTATTTTTACTCCTCTAATTATTTGTCTACATATTTTTTGTAATAATAATAATAATAATAATAATAATAATAATAATGAAATGCATGATAATTTTTGATATTTATTATTTTTATTATTATAAATGATATTTTTTGTAATTAGTTCTATAGCGTCCCGGTGAGAGCTTCCGATCGTGACAGAATAACGGAAGCTGAAATGGTACAGCAATTGCTGAAGATAATGGAGACTCCCGCGGATCCGCGAACTCCTCCCGTGGGTGTATTGACGGCAGCTAAACGACCGGTTTGGGCACGAGCACGTCAAGAATTATTAAAAAGTAATCATTGTCATTTGTGATGGGTTTCTGATTAGGCATTACTTGCACGCTTTTAGCATGAATATCAGTATTAAATTAATATCACTATTATTGAAGACGTCACGATCAATTTTGACAATGTCACTGTCGGTATATTAATGTCATGATGAATATCACTAGGGATATTACTGTTGTTATGAATATCACTGTTAATATCATCATCATTATTATAAATAATGTCATTGCATGATGAATATCACTATTAATATAATCAATAATATTTTCATCATGAATTTTCAATATAATGATAAACATCACTGTATATGGCATGATGAATATCACTAGGAATATTACTGTTGTTATGAATATCCCTGTTAATATCACCATCATTATAAATATCGTAGTGGTCATCATTTTCAATATCATTATTATCATTGCATGATGAATATCACTATTAATATCATCAATATTAAAAATATGATGAATAATTACTATCATAAACATCGTTATTAGTATATTCATCATAAGACATGACTAATATCATTATCGGTGTTAACATCATGATGAATATCGCTGTCAATATTGTGCTATAACTTGTCATGAATATCATGATAATTGTCACTATCTATACCAGTAATATCCATCTCATGATGAATATCATCATTAATATTTTCATCATGAATTTTCAATATCATGATAAATATCACTGTATATGGCATGATGAATATCACTAGGAATATTACTGTTGTTATGAATATCGCTGTTAATATCACCATTATTATTATAAATATCGTAGTGATCATTATTGTCAATATCATTATTATCATCTCATGATGAATATCACTATTAATATCATCAATACTATTTTCATCATGAATTATCATTATCATGATAAATATCACTGTTTATATCATGATGAATATCATTATAAGTGTATACGTTGTAATAAATGATTGATATCGATGCCATGATGAATATCGCTGTAAATATCAATATGATGATAATTAACGCTGTTATAAATATCATTATCATCATCCATGCCATAATTTAGTAATATCAATATGATATCATCATATACATGAATGATGATAAATATTAATTTACTATATAAATATCATTATCGCTATCAATATCATTGTCATGGTAAATATCACTATCAATGTTGTCAATATCAATGCTACGATTAATATCACCATCAATATCATATCAATACTATTTTCATCATGAATTATTATCAATACTTTGATAAATATCACTGTCTATAACCTGATGATGAATTATCCCTGTCATAAATATCGTTATCATCATCCATGCCATAATTTAATAATATTATCAATATCATTGGCATGATAAATATCACAATCAATATTATCGACATTAATATCATGATGATTATTATTTTAATTATTTCTATTGCAATGAACATCTTTATTGATATTTGTATCACGATTAATATCATTATCACTATCAATGTTGTCAATATCAATGTTCTTTATTTCATGATAAAAATATCATAATTATTATCGTCATTATCAATATAAATATCATTATTATCATATGATATCTAATAATAGAAACAAATTAAAAAATTTCTATCATTTTGTATTGCAGTAAATTATCAATCATCCGATAGTCAATTTAAAGTCCATTTCCTCTTTCTCATATCCTAGTAATTTCCTTAATATCTCGCAAAATATCCGTTTCTAATTTTCTTCTATTTGCATTCTCCCACACTAGATTAAAAAATTTCTATCTAAATAATTATTTATCCTCGTTTTTTTTTCTTATTTCCAGATGAACGAAATCGGCACAATCTTGAATTACTTGAACGGTGCCTTTGTATTGTATGCATCGACGAAGACGTATTGCCAGTAACATTTAATGAGCCTTATAATAAAACAGATCGGTGGTTAAACGATCGCGATTATGCAAATGTTTTACATCATTGTTTACACGGCGGTGGCTCGAGACATCACGGCGCTAATCGTTGGTTCGATAAAACATTCCATGTCATCCTTGGTAAGGACGGAATGTGGGGTATGACTTACGAACATTCAGCAGGTGAAGCACCAGCAATATTCAATTCTTTTGAAACGTTAACCGATAACGTTGATGCAATGCCACCTCCCGATAATTTGGTGCCATCACATTTGCCATCACCTGAAAAACTTGAGTGGCGCTTGTCTGAACAGAGTTTGAATGACATTCGTGAAGCTATGACAACTTTTGATTCGTAAGAATCCATTTAATTCAAATTTTCCCGCTTTTTTGACTTTAGTTCTTAAAGTTGCCACTAGATGGCGCTGGCGGCGTTCTTCTCGCATGTGGAGTGGCATTTGTAGCATTTTTACCCTATTTGTGCACTTTTTGACTCTAGAAACTTTATCTAAGCTTTTTTCATGATAACTTACGTAAAATTTTCCATTTTATTATATTATTTCACGGATTTTGTGCAGTTTTTAAATAAAAATTCTTCTAATTGTTCAGATTGGTCGAAGATTTGGATCTCTGTATCCTGTGGTTCCAAGATTACTCCAAGGAATTCGTTAAAAGTTGCAACATCAGTCCCGACGCTTACATCCAATTAGCCCTTCAACTCACCTACTTCAGGTAATCTATCACAGTGACCTATTTTGTAGCTAATTAATTAATTAATCATAGAAGGCTAATTGATGGATTTTAATTGAAGATTACACGGCTGTTTGGTGGCAACTTATGAAAGCGCGGGCATCAGAAGATTCGCTCAGGGAAGAGTTGACGTAATTCGTGCGGCCAGTCCAGAAAGTCTTGAGTGGGTGAAGGCGATGTGCCAGGGTGACCCTGACAGTTCTTTTAATGATTCACAAGAGGAAGGCACCAAAAGAGTACAGTTCACCATTTACAGTGTAACTGATTTAAATACCTTGCACACTTATTATTTAATTGGTCCTTTGTTTATTTTTTTATAGTCTGAAAATTAGAAAAAATATTTTACACAATAGAAAAATTGCATGTTTTTTAAAAGTTACCTAAAAGTTATTAATAATTTATTTATTTAGGTCATTTTTAAAGAAAAAGTTATTTTTTTAATTTGAATTTTGGCGGGGCAGTGACGTAGTTCCCTATCCGCTTTGCAACGCCATCTTACAGAGAATTTAAGAACTATATCTATGTTCTTGTAGTAATTTCATATAAATAAATGGATTTTTTTGTAGTTTAAGTTGTATTTCAAGTGAAATAACTTAATAAATGTAAAAAAAAAATTTAATAGTTAAAAATTAACGCAAATTCTCTGTTTAGTGTAAAAAAAAAAAAAAAAAAAAACTAAAAATAGCATTCAGTTAATCTCGTACTCTCGAATCAAGTGTTTGCATCCTCGAAGCTCCTGAGACTTTAAGTGGCGAACAAACAAAAACTAAATGAGACAAAATCTCAAATATTTATTAAAGGCTTATTTACCTCAAATATTTTCAGTATAATGCTTTAGGATTGTCAACAGAATCTTCAAAGGATTAATCCTCAAAAAAAACAACCCTTTGATACATTAAAAGATTTTAATTAATTGGAAATTAAATAGAATTCCAGCTTATTTATTTATTTTTTAATTAGTTAAGTAAATAATAACTATATTAAATTTATTTAAAATTTATCGATGGTATTTTGTTTACAGAAGCAACGGATAAAGGAGCTGTTTGATTTGGCCGTGCAGAGGCAAGCCAAAGAAATCGCGGATAACATTAATGGGCTGGGTCTAGACAATCATCTAATGGGATTGAGGTACGTCGCTAAAGAAATGGGAGAGAATATACCGGAGTTATTCAACGATGAGAGTTTCAATATTATCCATCATTTCGCTCTCTCGACTTCGCAGGTAATTTTAGTCTTAATTAATTAGTTATTTTGTATTGTTAACATTGTTTATGATAGGTCGTTAAATTTTACTTTCTTATTTTATTGATCGTAAATTTGGTGCTGAGAAATTCTGGTGTTTATTGTATTAAAAAAAAAAAAATTACCTCGGAATCGGAATCGAACCCACGACTTCTAAGAAAAGTAGCGGCGTTTAGAGAAATATAATTTTATATAAATTGTATAATTATTTATAAATGTTTGATTTTTAGCACGAAATTCATTTACGTGTGACTATACATATTTTTCGATAGTAAGGTATCAAAATATAAAGTTGTATAAAATTATATAAAACAATGTATAATTATATAAACTATAGAAAATTATGTGAGGCCAAAATTTACCTATAATTATATTCAAACAATTATTTTAAAATTTTTTAAGATTACCGTGATTTTAAAGTAGTTACAGAAAATTATATGAAACAATGTATAATTATATAAAAGTATATGAAGCTTTATAAAATTATATAAAGCCAAAATTTACATATAATTATATTTAGACAATAATTTAAAAATTTTTTATGATTACTTTGAGCTTATAGGCGATATAGAAGCTTAATAAAGTGTTTATAAAATTATATGAAACAATGTATAATTATATGAAATTTTATAAAGCTCTAAAAAACTATAAAAATCTAAAACTTGCATGTGATTGCAGATAACTATAAATACAATTCTGTATGATTATCTTCTACTAGATGAAAATATATAAAATTATACGAAACAATGTATAATTATATAAAATTGTGACAAGTAGTAAGAAAAAATTAATTTACGCCAAAAATTACCTACGATTATATATAATTACTACCTATAAAATTTTTTACAATTTTCTTAAGCTTAATAAAGTGTTTATAAAATTATATGAAACAATGTATAATTATATAAGCTTTAAAAAATAAAATAGAAGTATAAAAAAATATATGAACTTTTACAAAATTATATAAAATTATACGTCCTAACTTTTAAAAATAAAATTACTTTTATATAAAATTATATGAACAAAAAAGTTTTTTCTGCACTACTACTACCAAAAAATCAATATTTAAAAGTGTCAATTAAAAAAAGCAAGGGCTGAACCCCAAACGAGGGTCATGCAAAGTCCGGAAACAATTTTCTCTACTCCCTAGCGCTGCTTCCTTGCAGAGAGCCTAACAACCGGATATGAGTAATTTAACCGCGAAACATCCGACTGCCATAGAGAAAATAGTCTCTATTACTAGCAAAGATCCAACTCTACCCTCTTTTGTTTGTAATATGTTCCAGGTGACGACCAAAAACGACGCCATTGTTGGTTATGGACCAGTAGTACCCGACGGGTACGGATGCGGGTACAATCTCAGGAAAAATGGCTTCATATTTTCCTGCTCGGCGTTTCACAGCGATGGAAGAACAAACGCGCGTAAGTTTGCACAAACTTTAGAGTTAAGTTTACGCGACATGGCGGACATGCTGAAGAGTTCACAAAGCCGATAAATTTTAGTTACCGACCGTCGGTAATTATTATTTATATCGTTATTATGATGAATATAGACATATCAATGTTTAAAGATGACAGTTTAGTAGAAAGTAGATTGCTGTTGCACTGATAGATGATTTATTTTAAACAAGTAATTAATCGGAGAAAAAAGTTAATGTTGAAGAAAAGATTAGAGTCTTATGAGGCAAGTGGGTAAGGACAGCTTAAAATTTTTTTTTTTTTTTTTTTTTTTCGTTATGACATAATTATATAGACCAAAAAAAAAGGTTTTTTTTTTAATTTATCAGACTATTTAATTGGATTAGCATTTTTTGACTGTGAAATTAAAAAAAAATAGTTTCACTTACCGGCTGAGCATGGTTAGCCCACTTGACTTTCATAAATCGATGAAGAATTTGAAGAAAATAGTCAATGTTAAAATAAAATAAAAAAAAAAAATACATATCGAGTAAAGAATAATTAGCTTAAATTATATGCTTATTCTTTGTATCTTTCTAACTAAATGAAATCACTATTTATAAAAACAATTGCCAATTTTAATTGGCGCCCACTCCAGTACACTCTTGTCCAATATTTTTAGATAAATATTTAAGAGTATTTATACAATATTATTATTATATGTTAAATTTTCTCGATACAATTTAATGAATTTATTATTTATCGCTTGTACGCTTGCTAAATGTTTATATATATCGATCCGATAAATCTGCAAATCGGCCTCAGATAAAAATAAATTTTTAATCAACAGCGTTGACGTTGTTGATGTTGATATTCTATTCGAATTAAAAAAAAAAAATATATATATATATATATATATAATATGGAAATATAAATTATGTTGAATTTTGAAAATCTTGAGGGATATTCAAAAATTTAAATGTTTAATAGAGGATGAAATGTGTTAATTATTATTATTATTATAAATGAGTTTATTCGAAGATAAGCAAACGAAGAGTGCAATAAAAATTGTCGATTAATGTTATTAATAATATATTGTATTGAATATATGTAGTATATATATGAGAGATTTTATTGTCTGAGGCGTGGTGGAATTAGAAGAAAACAATTTTTTTTATTTTTTTAAAGACTTAAAATGAGGTTATAATTTAGTCACTTGAATATTTTTATTTTTATTCTTCTTATAAATTTATTTTTACATTTATTAAGTTATTTCACTCAAAATATAACCTAAACTACAAAAAAAGCCGTTAATTTATTTGAAATTACTACAAGAACATAGATATAGTTCTTAAATTCTCTGTAAGATGGCGTTGCAAAGCGGATAGGGAACTACGTCACTACCCCGCCAAAATTCAAATTAAAAAAATAACTTTTTCCTTAAAAATGACCTAAATAAATAAATTATTCAAATTTTTCACCCTTATTTTTTCGAAACAACTTTTATTAAACTTTTAAAGAAGAATAAAATTAAAAAACATAAAATTTCGAACAAAGCCACCACGTTCTCAATCACATAAATTGTGTTCTATTGTAGCCGTTAAGTCTAAAAGTAACAAAGAACCTAGAAATGAAAGTATGAACTATTAATAACAAAATATATATATACATGTATATACATAAATTTATAATTATACATTATACAGAACGTGTAATAAAGTATATGTATATGTATAGGATTCATCATGGTTGTCTTTATTAAAACTCTCTAACCTATATTAGCTTATTCCTCTTCCTCAATCATCCGCTATTTTAGTTATAGAAACTCTACAAATTTAATATTTTATTCTAATAAATAACAATAAAAATAATTTAAAATAATTATTTATTCAATATTTACACATAAAATTATTATAATTTACATAACCCATATACAATATCATAACCTTAAACAATAAAACTAAAAACATTTTTTTTTTATCACAGTATATTTACAAATTTTGCTTACATTATTTCAAATTAAGGTACAAAATTTTCTTTAATACTCTACCAATTAAAATTATCCGAGATATCTTCAATACCTTGTTGACCATGATCCAACCCAAGCTTAAATTGCAACCTCTCTAGACAACAATGCGACTTAGCAGCTCGACATTAACATCATCATAATTCCTAGCAAAAGGATGAGCCAGAAGATCATTAGCATGCGGCCTTTTCTTAGCATCATGCTGCAGGGACTTTTCAATCAAATCGATCCCTTCATTGCACAAGTTCTTAGGCATAGCAGGAACTTCGCCCATTCCAACTTTGAACATGATCTGATAGTTAGAATCGAATTCCGCCCAAGGTCTCTTTCCACTTGCCATTTCGATAACGCAGCAACCGAAGCTCCATATATCAGCAGCCCTTCCATGACCATGGCCATGCTCAGTCTTCATGAAAACCTCAGGCGCCATGTACGCCTGAGTGCCAACGAATCCTTGAAGCTCCCCAGGCATGGTAGTGTGAGCTTTGATTTCAACGGCAGACCCAAAGTCTCCCAACTTAAGGCAGTTGCCTTGATCAGTTAGGAAGATATTGGCAGTCTTGATGTCTCTGTGAACAATTCCATGAAAATGGAGCACAGAAATCGCCGATAAAAGCTGATGGACATACTTCCTGATGAATATCTCTGGTAGTCCTCCAGAGCTAGCAGCAATCAGGCTTTCAAGAGTTCCCTCCGCGCAGAATTCCATGAAAATCAGCATCTCCTCATGCTGAATTTCAACTCCGTAGTAACGAACGAGGTGATCATGAGTAATTCCTTCAAAGATCTGAAGTTCCTCCGCTACCCGACGGATAGCGCGGTGGTCTCCTGGCTGCAAGGATACTTCCTTCATTGCCAGAAGCTCGCCAGTCTGGTTATTGACCACCGTATAGACCTTTCCAAACCTGCCTTGCCCGATCTTGATGCCTCTCTGCCAACTGAAGGTAACCCTCCGGACCTTGATCCTGACATTGTCAGCAGTCTTCTTGGAAGCCGCTCGGCCAATCAGCTCAGCAGCCCGCCTCCGCTCATCAATCTCTTCCTCCAGCTGCTGCAAAGCAGCAGTAACTCTCGACTGCTTAGCAGAAATCTTCCTGCTAATAACCAAGCTGACGTTCTCTTTGCAACCCTTCAGGTCCTTGACGCTGATTCTGGGCGACGTGGTCCTGGACAGTGGAAGAGGCTTCAGCTCATCGGAAACAACCTCCGCTTCTCCAATTATGTGAGCCCAGCATGCTTCCATCTTGGTTTTCAGCTCGGCAAAGTCTTGCTCATCCAAGAACTCAGTGTTTGCTGGTTCGCAGGTCATAATCAGGAATTCTAACCCATGGTGAGCCCATCTGGGTCTCAATCCACGGCCCCGCTCACACCTGGTTACCACAAACTCAATCCAGAGCTCAGCGAAGCTGACCAATCCCTTGACTAGCTGCTTGTTCGCCTGGAAAATCCGAATCACCTCCCGATGATAATCAAAGCCTAGCCTGTAAGCTTGGTGAAGGATTTCACGGACGCGAGTCTTGAACGCCAAGTCATTTTCTAGTTTGGACTCATCAGCCTGATCAACCCTCACTTGAAACTGGCTCACCACGCTGCAGATTCTCGTTCTGAGATCGTAAATCACGTGCTTCAGGGTATCCAAAGCAGTCGTTAGATCATCGTTGGGACTCTGGTCCAAGTCGCGCTTCAACGACCGGGTCAGAAGAAGACTCTTAGTAAGCTTCTCGCGAGCTTCTATGAACATTGCTTGCCATTCCCGACCCAGAGACATGAACTGGTACCTTACATCCTCACTCTCTTCAATCTCCGCCATAGATTCTTCGATTTCTAAGGGTCTGGTGCCCAAGAATTCGATCACTTCGTGAATCATCACTCCGTTTATCTCGCAGAACTTGACTCCGCCTATCGTGAATCCGTTCTTGATGTTCCTGGCTATTGATTTGACAAATGTCCATTCGTCATCAATCAAACCCTTCTGGTAGTTTCCGCAAGGTACCATTTCAACCCACTGTTTAAGGTAGTCCAAGTAAACGACAAACACCTTCTGAAGGCTGTCATCAAAAGCAGCGATATCAACCTCCCCAGCTTCAGCCACAGTTCGGGAATGGGCCAAGAACCTGTCGCGATAGATGCAAGCTATTTTTAAGCCTTCCCGCATTTCTCTCATCAGCTGTCTAACGCTAAGCGCTCCTGGAGCCACTGGCTTCTGCTGGAGGCGCATCTCCAAAAACTCGTGGACGATGTCCAGGGGAACTCTTGACAGGAAGAGGAACACGTTGGCATACGAAGGGAGATTCAGAGCTTGGGATTCTGGGCTCCAAAAGCCGTATCGCTTCAGATCCAGATCTTCGTATTCTTCGTAAATGGAGCTAGTTTGGTCCTTAGTCAGGGCCAGGTTGGCTTTTCTCAAGACCGACATATGCAGACGCTCCAAGAAGTTCAGGGATTTGCTGAGCCCGCGGGTTTTAAGGACATCTTCAATGTACCGGCGGTAGGAAACCCGTTCTATCTCGGTGGTGTCGAAGTCTAATTGCTCTAGATGTCCCTCGTCGAAGTAGATGAAGGTGGACTTTAGCGAGCCGCAAGGATTTGGAGAATCCAAGTCGAAGATCTCAAATTTAGGGTCCATGCTCGAGTCTACTGAGTCTCGGGATGGTTTTGGCCCGGGGATTAGCATCTTACGGAGGATTCTAAGCTTCAGACGGTGACGACGCATCATGTTGTACCAGAGACACATGGCCTTGACCCTACCGGTGAATTCTGGACTCTTGTACTGCGGGTAGTGCGCTGCAAACGCTTGAGAAGATGGGTACAAGGATTCCGCGGTCTGCAGTCGGATAAGCAGGCTTTCTACTTGCCTAAGCGCGGTAATCTGGCATTGCCGGCAGGTGATGCAGTGCATTGACAGGCAGCCGTAGCATGCCAGGGAAAACTCAGGATCTGATCCCAAGAATGGTGAGGGGAGCGACGGAACCAGGGAACCTTCGAATCCGGAATCTGCGCTAGATGTCGCTGATCCGTTCTCTATCAAGCTTGACGCTGGGTCGTATCTAAAAGTTTTGGGGTTTTTTTGGTTAGATTATGGTTTTTAAGGGCTTGGGGAGTGATTACGTACTTGTAGTTTAGGATTTCGGTGAGCAATGGGCAGATCGCGTCCCGTTGTCTGCACAGAAACTCGTCCTGTTCCACCAGACTACGGTCAGCGTGGAATGCCTGAAGCTCCAGCCAGATCAGGTCTTTCAGCTCGTTTTGCCAACGAGATTCTTCACTGCTTATTTGCCGGCAACAGTTGCGCTCACGGTCATTGGCTGACTAAAAGGTTTTATAATTGTACACATCAAATATGTGAGAATTGATTAGCTGGTTAGTGTGTTTTTAGTAATTGGAGTGATACTAGAAATTTTTTAGAGAATATATTGAAGTTAATTTTTTTACGTATTCATTCTGATTAAGGACATTAATGTGCTACGCTAGAGTCAAATAAAGACTAACTTTTAACGAAATTTTTTGGAGCCTAGAGAAAAATTTTCAATAATTTTACAATGATTTAGAACTATTTTTTATTTATCCTAAATATTTTTTTTAGCATTTATTGTAAAATATCAGTAAATATATGTTAGCCGTTAATTTGAGGTGAATTTTAATTGTTAATTAAATTAGGCAATAACGGTATTTTTAACGACATAATTAGGTGGATGTCAACGTACACTTATTTACAGATTAAACAGTCAACCTATGTAATGTTTTTACGGTCAGTGTGCTTGTGTATATTTATTTAGTAAGCTTCTAAGCCTGTCTTTCAATTCGGTTAAAAATTACCCAAAATAGTTTTAATTATATCAAATAAAATAATAAATATTTAATTAAAACGTTTGTCAAGAGTAATTTTTCAATGGAATTATATTAGCTACATCAATCAAATAATATTTTAAAAGATTATTCATTATAGAATATACTTTAATAATAATATAAATATTATAATTTTTATTTAAAAGGAATACCGATTCGTCATAAAATTTTATTTTAAATCATTAATAACTTTTTTAAGTAATCGATAAAGAGGTTTTAACTTTTTCAAATAGATAACTACATAATTGAACTTATCGAAAGTCAAAAATCTTAATTTTCATCTATTATTAACTCTCACGCACAAGCGTCCTTAACAATATTGCTTTTAAGTAATTTATAATTCTACTAAATTCTAGCTTACAATTTTTCTTCAAGTTAAAATTTAAAAAGAAGTTACAATTTAAGTATATTAAATCCTTACGGCAAAAATAATAATTTATTTGCTCAATTACCCTTCCCTGTTCTTTTTAAATTTTTATCTAATTATTGTCTCAATTTAAAAAAAAAAAAAAAAAAAAAAACAGTCTCCTAACTTACAATCACAAAAAAATCACTAAACTCTCTACTTAACCAGGTAAATCCCACTAAACAGACACGTGGCGCTATCTAGCGGCTAAAAGACACACTATAAATTTTTCTACCCAAGAAAACTTCTTTATCATAATGATAAACTTACCAAGTGAATCGCGTGTGAAAAAGTTTCATGGAAAATTTCTCTGCCGACGATTTTCTTGTCATCACTTTCACTGACTCTATCAGCAGCTTCATCGGAATCATTGGCCAGGAAGAATTTAACGGTTTCATCGGCCTCTTTCCGGGCTTCTACCTCCACGGGCTTGGACCTGAGGCACCGGAACCGATTTTTCGTCTCGATCTGCAAAGAATTTAATTTAAAAAATTGAATCTCTATATTATTAATTAATGAAAAAAATACGTACAACTCCGCAGAGAAGAGTCATGTTGCTGATGATATTGTCTTCTCTGGTAACGGAGGTTGGCGTGGACGGATTAACGTCGTTGTTTTGGTGATTTACTGAGGAATCAGAGGACATGTCTAATTTAATCTCCCGTTCGCTTTTCCGAGTTAATTTTAAGCTTCTCTTGCACTTGCGAGTGTTATCTTTGGCGTTAGCGGGTCCGAAATTTCCCGCCGGGGCCGAGGAAGGGGAGTTTGAATCATCGTCTAATTTTATTTCGTTATCGGAATCCTCCTCGTCGGCTTGGTCGCACATTTTGTTGAAGATTATTGCGTCCAGGGTGTTGCGACGGCAGAGAGGCGGCTTACAACGGACTTCTCTTACTGGTGCTGATTTATTTTCACTGTTAATTTTTAATAGTGATTATAAATTATTGTGTTAATTTTATGATTAAAAAAAAAAAAATAAAAAAGTATTGAAAATTATTTTTTTTCAAAATAAATTTTTTTTCTCAATATACTTTTCAATTCTTTCTATGATAATGAATGAAAATTTTTTAATATTAATTAAAATTAATTGATCATTGACAGAAGCGACGTATAATTCTCGTTGGGTTGAAGGAGATAAAAAAGTTGTTAGAGCTGTTATTATTGTAATGATTAATTCTCAAAGAGAGTACAATTTTACAGCTTACGGTCTTTTTATTCTAAATCGCCAGCAATTGACTCAAGTAAGTACTTCTTTATCCTACTTATTCATATTTTTTAAACTGATTATATTTTTTCAGATATTTAATACGACAATGAGTTACTTTGCGTTACTCAGAAATTTTATGTAACAAATGACAATTAATTAATTTTTTTAACTAGCTAAAAACAATATTAAATAAATTCTTAATTTATTTTAGCGTTAAACTTTTGCAACAAAAAACTAAAGAATTTATTTAGCAATACGTTATATTTAATAATATTTATATATTAATTCGCCAAAAAGTCGAAACTCCTAGCAGACATCAAAATATTACCGAATAATTCCAAGTTATTACACTGAATTTATTTACAAGTTACTCATCCACCGGTTGACTTTCTTCTGACCGGCAGTTCCGCTCGTAGAAAACTATATTGATTACTGAATTATAGTCTTCTGTCACGCAACATCTTTCGTACAAAATATTCCTCGTTTTCCTTATAAATCTCATTAAATATTAACAAAACAAAATAGAGTGTCCATTGTCTTAAACTCGCTCCAGGTTGTTATCCGGCAATTTTCTTTGTCAACCCTTTAGCATTTCCGATCGGTTTATTTATTATTCATACGCTATCGGCTATTGACTTCATATATTTCTGTAATTGTACTTCCATATTTTACTCATAAAATAAGAAATATTACTTTGTTCTTGAATTTCCTATCCAAGAGACGAAGTAATGATTGATCCAAACTTGGCGATTCCGTCGTGCAAAAAACTATTTGCCGTCGAATTGTTTGTCTTCAAACTAGTCGGCTTAAATTCATTTGAAGAAGCTTTTAACACAAACAACTGCAATACCAAAAAACAAGATCTTAAATATTGGGAAATTATTTTTATAATTGCCGCGTTCTGGCCAATATCTTTTCTGTTAATTTCTTTAGTCCAAACAGTACCCATTTATTTTGGTGTTAATTTTTCCATGACTTGTTACACTATTTCTGTGCTTTTTTCTATGACTATTGTTCAGATAAAGGTAAGTTATTATTATTATTATTATTATTATTATTATTTCTAATCATTTCAAATAAGATTTCTTAATCAGGGATATTAATAATAATATATTAATTAATTTATTACTTTGTTTTTCAGTTAATCCGATTATGGAGCTGCCGGTTAAAGTTTTATAAACTCTTTGAAACCCTAAATAATATTTGGGAAGAAAATATTACCAATAGAATTGATTTAAAGAACCAAATAATTGAAATAATCGGCAACTCTAAACCACTTCAACGGTTTTATGTAATTATTGGCCTAGCGTTGTGTTTTTGCTATACATTACGTCCTTATATGTAAGTTTTAATTATATACTTTAGTTAAGTTAATATCTCTGGACAAAATATCTAAAAAAATGCACCATAACTTTTTATGAAGTGATTTTTGCCTTGGTGGTTTAGAATTAGAGCGCGCGCTTACGCGCGCAATTTGAATTCCTAGTTATTAAAAAAAAAAAAGGGATTCCCCTTTTTATTAATGTGTCTTTTTATCAGGGAATTATTATTTTATCTTTATTCTCCTCCATCTTACGGCTTGTTTAAAAAAAATATAATTTGACAAAATTATTTATAAAAAAATAATATTTTACTGTGATACTTTGTCTAAAATTAGGTTAGAATTTTTTTTACAATTAATAAAACAATTTTTTTTATCCAAAAGCGTTGTTTTAAAAACTTACGTGTCATTATCAGAAAATGAAACAATGACTTACACAGAATTAGCTTACGCTGGAGTAAATTACCCAATTAAAACGGACACTTTAACCAATTACTTGTTACTTTTGGCAATTGAAAACCAAATTTCATTCTTCGCCGGTATATACTTTATTCTTTGTGACTTATTGTTCATAACCTTGACAACAATCATCTCCGTTAATTTTATGGCAAGTACTTGATCAATATTGCTTGATATTTTTACTAACCAGAGCATTTATAATTCAGGTGTTAGCTGATGAGTACCTCAACTTATTCGAGATCTATTTAACTACAAACAAAAACTTAGGAACAATTAACAGAATAATCCGACGGCATTGTTTACTACTATCGTGAGTACCAGAGTACAATTTAAATAAGTTTTAACATTAGTGTGTGATATTATTTTGATAGGTTATGTCGGACAATAACTCATTTATTCAGTCCGATTGTTTTGTTTACTGTTATTTTCAATGGAATTGATATATGCTGCACTATTTTTGCATTTAAACAGGTAAGTTATTCATTTTAAATCAAACTACTTGTTTATTATTTATTGTTATTATCAGAATAGGATTATGCGGCTGGTGAAGCAAAAATTTCTCTTGTAAGAAATTTACCGCATACCATAACCTTAATCTTTCAAATATTAGTTTACTGCAATTGCGCTCACATCGCCACCGAACGGGTAATATAACCTTTAAATATTTAATATAACTAAAATATGATATAAATAATTATTTTTAAAGAGCAAATCTTTGAGAGAAGCAATTTATAATTCATCTTGGATGAATGGAGATAAAAAAATAATTAAAGCTGTAATTACTATAATGATTAATTCTCAAAATGAGTACAAATTTACACCGTACGGTATTTTTATTCTCAACCGCCAACAATTGACTCAAGTAAATACTAGTTTTTTTTTTTTATTATCAATTACTTAATTAATAATAAATTATTTCTTCAGATATTTAATACAACTTCAAGTTATTTTATGTTACTGAGAAGTTTTGCGTGACAAAAAAAAATATTTTAAAAAATATATTACACTTTATAGAGTTATCAACAATTGTTAGTATTTCAAATTAAAATAAATATATATAAAATAAGTATGTATTTTAGCAATACGTTATATTTACTAATATATTATTAATTCCCAAAAGCGTCGAAACTCCTAGCAGACATCAAAATATTGCAACATATTACAATGAATTTATTTACAAGTTACTCATCATCCAACGGTTGACTTTCTTCTGACCGGCAGTTCCGCTTGTAGAAAACAATATCGATTACTAAATTATAGTCTTCTGTCACGCAACATCTTTCATACAAAATATTCCTCGTTTTCCTTATAAATCTCATTAAATATTAACAGAACAAAATATAGTGTCCATTGTCGCAAACTTTCTCCAGCATGTTATCCGGCAATATTCTTTGTTAACCCTTTAGTATTTCCGATCGCTTTATTTATTATTCATACGCTATCGGCTATTGACTTCATATATTTCTGTACTTGTACTATCCATATTTTACTCATAAAATAAGAAATATTACTTTGTTCTTGAATTTCCTATCCAAGAGACGAAGTAATGATTGATCCAAACTTGGCGATTTCGTCGTGCAAAAAATTATTTGCTGTCGAATTGTTTGTCTTCAAACTAGTCGGCTTAAATTCATTTGAAGAAGCTTTTAACACAAACAACTGCAATACCAAAAAACAAGATCTTAAATATTGGGAAATTGTTTTTATAATTGCTGCGTTCTGGCCAATAGCTTTTCTGTTAATTTCTTTAGTCAAAACAGTACCCATTTATTTAGGCGTTAATTTTTCCATGACTTGTTACAGTATTTCTTTGCTTTTTTCTATGACTATTATTCAGATAAAGGTAAGTTACAATTATTATCATTAATTTTTACACACTTATATAATAATTATTTTTTTTTTTTTAGTTAATCCGACTATGGAGCTACCGATTAGAGTTTTATAAACTCTTTGAAACCTTGAATATTATTTGGGAAGAAAGTATTTACAATCGGATTGATTTAAAGAACCAAATAATTGAAATAATCAACAATTCTAAACCAATTCAACAGTTTTATATTATTAATGCTTTAGCATTGTGTATTTGCTATACATTACGTCCTTATATGTAAGTTTGAATTTATACTTTAGCTAAGTTATCCCTGGACAAATTATCCAAAAAAATGCACAATAATTTTTTTTATTAAAGTTATTTTTTAAAAAAGGGATTCCTCTTTTTTATTAATGTTCCATTTTGTCAAAAAATTATTAAACTCGTAAAAATTAAAAGGTATCTTCATCTATTTTACTGCTTTAAATAAATTATTAGATAATTCAAAGTGGCGCCTAATTTCTTATTGGTTTAAGATTAAAGCGCGCGCTTACGCGCGCAATTTGAATTCTGAGTTATTTAATAAATAGGGGTTTCCCCTCTTTATTGATGTGTCTTTCTATCAGAAAATTATTATTCTACCTTTATTTTCCTCCATCTTACGGCTTGTTTAAAAAAAAAAAAATAAAATTATTAATTAAAAAATAATATTTTACTGTGATACTTTGTCTAAAATAAGGTTAGAATTTTTTTTTATAATTAATAAAACAATTTTTTTTCCAAAAGCATTGTTATAAAAACTTACATGTCATTATCAGAAAATGAAACAATGACTTACACAGAATTAGCTTACGCAGGAGTTAATTACCCAATTAAAACGGATACTTTAACCAATTACTTGGTACTTTTGGCAATCGAACACCAAATTTCATTCTTCGGCGGTATATACTTTGTTCTTTGTGACTTATTGTTCATAACCTTGACAACAATCATCACCGTTAATTTTATGGTAAGTACTTGATCAATATTGCTTGATATTTTCACTAACCAGAGCATTTATAATTCAGGTGTTAGCTGATGAGTACCTCAACTTATTCGAGATCTACTTAACTACAAACAAAAACTTAGGAACAATTAACAGAATAATCAGACGGCATTGTTTACTACTATCGTGAGTACCAGAGTACAATTTAAATAAGTTTTAACATTTGTGTGATATTATTTTGATAGGTTATGTCGGACAATAACTCATTTATTCAGTCCGATTGTTTTGTTTACTGTTATCTTCAATGGAATTGATATATGCTGCACTATTTTTGCATTTAAACAGGTAAGTTATTCATTTTCAATCAAACTACTTGTTTATTATTTATTGTTATTATCAAAACAGGATTATGCGGCGGGTGAAGCAAAAACTTCTCTTGTAAGAAATTTACCACATACCATAACCTTAGTCTCTCAAATATTAGCTTACTGCAATTGCGCTCACATCGCCACCGAACGGGTAATATAACCTTAAAATATTTAATATAACCAAAATAATCTAAATAATTATTTTTAAAGAGCGAATCTTTGAGAGAAGCGATTTATAATTCTTCTTGGATTAATGGAGATAAAAAAATAGTTAAAGCTGTAATTATTATAATGATTAATTCTCAAAATGAATACAATTTTACAGCGTACGGTATTTTTATTCTCAACCGCCAACAATTGACTCAGGTGAATATTTTTTTTTTTTTTTATTATTAATTACTTAATTAGTAATTAATTATTTCTTCAGATATTTAACACAACTACAAGTTATTTTATGTTACTGAGAAATTTTGCGTGACAAAAAAATTACTTCTTAAAGTTGTCAACAATTGTTAGTATTTCAAATTAAAATAAATATTAATAAAATAAGTATTTTAGCTGTACTTTATATTTATATATTAATTCGCCAAAGATATTACAAAGTCTATTGACAAGTTACTTGAACACCGGAAAATCTTATACTGAACGGCAGTTCCGTTCCAAAGTCGGTGATTCGCTTAGCGTCAGAGTGGGGAAAAGTATCGACTAAATTATAGTCTTCCCGTTCCCGCAACATTTTTGATAGAAAGTATTCCTCATTTTCTTCGCAAAACTCATAAAATATTAAAGTTCAGAAAATGAAAGGGATAACGAGGCATAATTTATTCAACCTTAAAATTTTAAAATTTGTATACTATACCTCGAAAATTAATTTAAAATAGATTTTCTTGTTAAAGGATAATTTAAAATTCACCTTTGTCTCGTTAAAGTATTTTAAAATTCACATTTGTCTCTTTGAAATAATATTTTAGATATATCTCCATCCTACTTAGTGTTACCCCTGTTGAAAATGTCCAATAGAAACTCATAAAAAACGATAAGGATTGTATGGGCTTCTATATGGTCTATCTGGAACGAAAAATTTCCCGATAGAGGTGAGGTTGAAATTAATCGGAATGTATGAGCAAATCCAGTCACAACTTTTGTTCTAATTGGAATGAATAAGATTTGAATGGTTTCGGTAAAAATGTGGATTTAATACGGAGAAAACTTATAGGATTCTAATGTTTCTTATAAGGAGTTGTCTAAGATTCGAGAATTTATACGTCATTACTAATAGAACAATTGATGGGTTTTTATTTGGATTTTTCAACTGGGTATAGTTATCGTTCTTTATCGGTAATAACCAAGTGATAAAATATAGGGATTCATGAGTCATTACCGATAAATAATAAGTCGGTAATCTACAAGGAATTACCAATACAGGATCATTTCAAATCTGGGATTATGGAAGGATCTCCAATTAGCAAATAATTTGTGTTTTAAAAAAACCAGTTTGGAATTCCAGCGACAAAAACACATTACAATCTTTTAAGATTCTATAGCATTCTTGGTGTCTATGAGGATCAATCAGTAAATTCAAATACAAAATTAATCACGATATTCATAAGAAAATATAGATCTGAATTTGGAATGGCCCGGTTGCAATCTAATAGGATTTCACTTACATCACACATATGAGAAATTGTATATTCTAAGCAGATATCCAAGTATTAATTTCAGATGAAAATATGAATTAAAGATTGCAATAAGAAAGATTTTATGTGGATTTCCTATTTTACCATAAGGATCCGACAAGCTTCAATGAAAGGCCTTTAGATTAATTCTTTGGTTTTGTTTATTTCACTCATTGATAATTTTAGGAAGTATGGAAATTGAGTTTTTTTTGGTCACATCCAAAAAAAAAAACAATTAAATACAATGTGACTCATAATTTCGAGAAAAAAATTTTATTTCTTATTTTTTATCGCTCAATAAATTTAAAGGTATTATGTTTACTTGAATTGACGTTATGAAAAATATCCCTGAGGATGTGTCCTATAATTCTAATTATAACTGCGTTGCAACAATTAGAATCCATCGTCAGGTTAAAAAGTTTTATAAAGATCTCTCGTTTCACCGATAGAATTCAACAAGTTTCAATAAAAAGTATCATCATAAATATCTCACATGTAATCTTTCAATTGTTTTAATATTTTGTAATTTTAAATTATCAATAATACTGCCCAACATTCAAGAATTCAGTCGCTACAATCTCCATAAATAATTATATCCAGAACAAAAAGTTTAAGTCCGACTCAATGTTTTGGTATTAGACTCAATTTTACTTTTTTCAAGAACAAATTGACGAAAAAAGTGAAGAGGCTACTACATTGTTTAAAAATTTAAACAAATTAATTACATTTTCCGATTCTGATATTGACTAGTGTGGAACTAATTAAATTAATTGGGTTGTATCGAATCTGATGAGGATATCCTGATTTAGCAATACAATCTAATAAACCCCATTAGAAATCAACGAACATCGATTATTTTTTTTTTCTTTTATAAGTAAATTATATTAGATTTTTGAATTATCGAGCTTACTTCGTATCTATGTCGGGATATACGCTTCCTTCAATTTTGAGGATGAAAAAATAATTCTCATTTTCTTGTTCTTTTTTTTTTTTTTTTTTTTTTTTTTTTTTTTTTTAAATGTTAAATCTGTATGAAA